ATGCTGAAAATTCAGCTTTGATCACAGGAATAAATTACATTTTACAGTATATTACAATAGAAAACAGTTATTTTAAATTCCAATAATATTTCACGATATTGCCTTTTATACTGTATTTTTGATCAAATAAATGCAACCTTGGTGAGCACAAAAGACTTCTTTCAAAATCATTTTAAAAATCTTACCAACCCCAAACTTTTAAGCGTAAATGTGTATTTTATGTTCACTTTAAAATAAATTGTTCACAGTTTATTGCAATTAAATTTTTTTCAAACACTTGTCAAAATCTAGATCGTGTCTTAAGATTAATTTGTTCATTTTTCATACAGAAAGGAATCGGTCTTTAGCAAACTAATAATATCTTATTTTTCCACCCACAGCAGATACAGTAAATTCACACCATGACTCAGTCTGAGGCTTCCTCTCACATCTAGAATATGAAGTTCAGACACCATCTTATCACTTCCTGTCACATGGTCTGCCTAGAACATAGGACGGCAGTTTGATCAGTATCTAAGCTCTTTGAAAGATGCTGCTGTCCTAAAAATCATTTTCATGTATTCAACATTTTCTCATAAATTCATCGCCGGGTGAATTTAATATACCTCAAAGCAAAACTATGACGTTTAAATACCTTAAAAATGTACTTGCAAAAACATTTTCCACCTCTAAAGTATTCCCAATCTGAGGTTTGTTTTCCAAAACAGTATGCAAAAATGCATAGAATAACACATGCATGTACTTTTACTCATGTGCGCTTTAGAAAGGCCAAGTGTTGAGTGTGTTGTTTGAAAAAAGTCTGCAGATACATCATTGGTTCACCTCTCTGAATCAGATTAACACAGCATCTCAGTGTCAGGCTCAAGTGCGCTTTGTGGTTTCGAAAGTTTCCATCTTCACTTTAGTCTGTTTACTGAGTGTGTGAAGCCGTCAGACTCTGACCAGTGAGTGGAACAAGGTGACTGTTAGACCTTTAAAAATAAACTTAAAAGCAATGCGTGTATGTAGTGACAAACAAAGATCTGTACCATCTCGAAAAATGACACTACTGAGGCACAACATCAACTCAACCCTCATCTGTTTTTTTAACGATTAGCTAATCAGCCTTTGAGTTAGTGCCAATTACATTTGCATTTATTCATTTAGCAGAGGCTTTTGTCCAAATGAGGATATTCACTTGCAAATGAAGGTTATTTTATTTTATTTTTAATTTAATAAAATTTTATATTTTCATTTTATTATTTACATTTTTTTCCATTTTATTTATTTATGCTTTCTTCTCCCTTTTTTTTCTTGGTGTAACACATTCAACCTCATTGCATGATAGGGTCCATTATGAAGTTCTTTTGGATTCAGTATCTCATGTTAACTGTGGCACAGTTAGAGTCGGTGCAACAGTTGATTCACTAATATCAACAAGTATAGACCAATTCAGAGTAGACGTCACAGTTACGTCACTTGCAGCTGCGCGCGCATAGTGGTTGCAGAAAAACACTGGGAACAAGTGGAGGTAAATGGGTAAAATCCATGGAATAAAAGAAAAAAATATTTTTGTGCCTTTTGATGTCAAGATCGGAATGCAAATAATTTTTATAGAATACTGTCGTCAAAGACGCCATTTGAAGCTAAATGCAGATGTTTAAATTACTCTACTTTTAAAGCATAATCAAAAATAGTGAGTTTGTCAAATCTGAGGGAAAAAAGCCAGAAGAGCCGAGGGGAACAGAGAGAATGACGAGTTGTTTTTCCTTATTAGAATTGTGAGATATAATCTCGGAATTGCGAGAATAAAGTCAGAATTTTGAAATATATAATCAAATTTACCTTTTATAAATTCTTTTATTCCATGGCTCCATAGATCTCTAGCCGTAAAGGCTATCTCTCCCGGGTTTTCTGCAACCATGATGCGCGCGCATCCTGAATGTTTACAAACCTATAATTGGTCTATAAAATTAGTCTTTAGTTTTGAGTCCAGTTGGAATTTGTTCTCTGTCAAATTGTTGTAGTGGAATGTTGGAATTTATCACGATGAAGAAAATTCTACAGCAGTATCAACTTATTATTACAGTTCAAAAGTGACATTTGTCTTTGCCTTTTTCTAAGCATAAAATTATGGGTGACTCTTCACATTTATCCTGACATCTGCATTATTATTAATAGAATCAAATACTTACAACATTTTTAATTAGACATTTTCATATAAGAATACTTTGCATGAAATTTAAATTGCGTCAATTCCTGTGTGTGCCCAGGCACAAATGAGATGACAAAAATAATACCTGTTTTTATGACATATATGACTGTTATTTGTTCATTTCAACATTAGTTGAGCAACATGTTGAGTTGCATCTCAACGGTTTCATTTATGAGCTGTCTGAACTTTATCCACTCTTGAGGTAAACCCAGCTTACCTAGTGTTCATAACAGTACAGTCGGCTATTAAAAATGCATGTGATGTGTTTTCAGTTACGACCATTTTTAGAAACTGCAGCTTGCATATATGGCTCCACAGAGACTCGTTACCATGTCAGTCTGCGCAGTGGTTGAGTTCTTTAAACCGTATCTGTACATATGCAAATCAAAGCTTACAAAATCAATCCGCAACCCCGCTGAGGTCAATGCATGCAACACCTTATAGTCTGACAGTATGACTTTTTTATTCAATTTGCTGTCTGTATTAAAATTGGTCTTGACATCTTTAGAAGATGCACATGCTGCATGCATTTTTGTGATTGAAAGTGTGATAATGACAAATAGTAATGCTTACCTCTCTCATTTCTTTATGTCCGTAATGTACTTTTTTAGAAAAGGCCGCTCTCTCAAACTGACCCATCAAGATGCACTGAATACCATGTAAGACGCTCTGGATATCATAACAAACATAGACGAGTCAAACTGCACCGCGGATAAAAAACAATAACTCAAAGGCACATCAGAAATAGGAAGTAAGTTCAGTTCATACTGCTGACTAAGGAATTATGCCTGTGTCCTCTTATAGCTACAGCAAGTGTCTAAAGGCCTGAGAGGGTTCAAGGAAGTTCAGGAAATGTCATCTTTCTCTTTAAGTCGAGAGACTTCCGGGGTTTAACCACAAGCTATTTTCTCAACCTGCTATTATTTGTCTCATACATTTGTTAGCTGTAAACTGAAAGAGGATAAAAAGAAGAGTTTTTCAGTGTAAAATCTTGCATAGAAATCTACATTAGTACCGTCAGATGTAATGACAGTCCATAATGACAGTGTTGTTGTACGTGGTATACTGCACTGTGCGTCTTTCAATCTTATCAAATGTAAATGTAAATTATGGTTGCCTTATTCTTGTTTTAGCGTGTATTGTCAGCTTGGCCACAATTCTTCGTTCACACATGTTAAGAAAGGTCACTGTTTCTGTGAATGTGTGCTGTGGTGAGCGCATACTGGCAGAGATTTGCTGCCATCAACAGTTTCGAATGAATGATATGAAGTGAATGTATGATATGAAGTCATAGTCTCCTTTAAAGGAATAGTTCACCCAAAAATGAAGATTTGCTGAAATGAACTCACCCTCAGGCTATCCAAGATGTAGATGAGTTTGTTTCTTCATGGGAACAAATTTAGAGAAATGTAGCATTCTATCACTTGCTCACCAGTGGATCCTCTGCAGTGAATGGGTGCCGTCAGAATGAGAGTCCACACCACTCCACTCAAGTAATCCACACCACTCCAGTCCACTTGTGAAGTGAAAAACTGCATGGTTGTAAGAAAGAAATCCATCATTAAGACGTTTTTAATTTTAACCCTTGCTTCCATCTAAAATATGAGTCCTCTATCCATAATATTTCTTCCTCCAGTGAAATAGTCGTCTTGTCTGAATCAGGAGAGCTCAGTTCTAAACAAATATGTGGGTGAATTTTGATGTGAGTGGACAACGGGGATGAACTGGAGGAAGTGTTATAATGGATTATGGACTCATATTTTGGCCAGAAGCAATGGTTTATACAGTAGTTAAAACATCTTGATGGATTCGTTTCTTACAAGTCACAGCTTTTCACTTCACAATATTAACTGATGGACTGGAGTGGTGTGGATTACTTGTGGATTATTGTGATGTTTGGGCTCTCATTCTGACGGCACCCATTCACTGCAGTATCCGTTTGTGAGCAAGTGATGGAATGCTACATTTTTCCAAATCAGATGAAGAAGCAAACTCTTGAATGGCAGTAAATTGTTAGCAAATTTTCATTGTTGGATCAACTATTCTTTTAATTTAATTTAAAGAATTCTGTGTGCTTTAAATGTGAATAAATCAAGTTTATATTTGTTTTTTCTTACGTTTGTGCTTCCTTGTAGACTGGTTGATGTCCAGAGAACAGAAGA